ATAGCAATAGTAGGAAGAGGAGGAGGAAGAGGAAGAGGAGGAAGGAAGAGGAGGAGACGGAGGAGGATGATAAGGAGGAGTAAGAGGAGGAGGAGGAGGTGGAGGAGGAGGGGGGAATGAGGAGGAGGGGGAAGAGGAAGAGGAGGATGATGAAGAGAAATTGAAGGAGCGAATTGGCGAGCGAGAAACGCACCGAACCAAATCGAGATCAATTGAGCAAGGCGCACGAGGCCGTGGGCCACAGCCTCGCAGACATTGAACAAAGCATGCTCGCACGGGGTCCCCCACGATCGCGCCTCTGCTTGCAACCGTGTGGTGTCATTGCTGTCGTAGCGTCGGTATCGGCGTGGTCTCGTGGCGCCACTGGTGTCGTGCCGTGTGTCGTTGTCATCGTTCGAGCTGGTGCTGCGCAATAAGTTTCGTATGTCGTCGCACCACCGTTTCTGCTGTCCGCCATGTTGCCTCCAACCCTGTTGCTTGATACTCTGGCCAAATTCAACGCTCTTCGTATTCACCGCTATGTCGAATGTCAGGCTATCTGGGCAACCCATGGCCATACCACTCGTTTGTACAACTGCACTAGTTGTACTGTGTCGCCACATCAACTTCTCTGCCCTGCGACTACTCCCGCGGACGAAGTCTGAGTACAGCTCTAGCTCGTATTGGGGGGTCGGTTTTCTCGGGGTTGTGGGGTCTTCTCGGGGTTGTGGGGTCTCGTTGTCGCTGTCGTCATGCACGTTGGCGTGATCTGACTGGGCAGGTGGTTTTCTGCGTATGTCAGACTCGTAAGGGCCGCCACATGAACAATCATGGGGTGGATCGGTGCTCCTGTTGTTCGCGTCCGTGGTGATGCTCGCTAGCTGCGTGGCAGTCGACTGTCTCCGGGGCGTGCCGATGATCATTCGAATCGTTCGCACTTGTGTTCTGCGGAACTGCTGTTGTGTGGTTCGGTAAACATCCACGCCCCCGGGAAATATAGCATAGTGGGAACCACCGTAAATTGGTAGAGTCGTAGCTGGTGCTTCAATGGGCTCTGTCTGCTCGTAAGCTCTTGTCCGTGGGTTGTGAAGCATGCCCAGCCAGCCTATAAGCGTCGCGTGATCTCGGACGCACGGGTGTTGTGAAGTGTACTGGTTTGCCCTTGGTCAATAGTTCACCATGCCTCTGTAATGCAAGACGACGATGTCCATCCCAGAAGCTTTGACTGCGCACGATTGGGCTTGGGGCTGGTTGCTCATGATTGTCGTCTTGTCTGGGTGGACCTCCAGGCCATGGTGTTGAGCTGCTGCGATCCAATATTCGAGCATTGTCTTGATATTCGATAGGGTTAGGCTCAGTAGCATTTTGTCGTCTGCAGAGCGAAGGTTTGCGAAGACAGACGCCTCAGTCTCATCTAATTGATGCCGCACCTCCAGTGTTGCCACGTACTTTCGGATGAGTGGTTGGAGAGCGTACTGTAAGGGTGAGTTGGAAAGCAAGAACTTTGGGGATCCCCTTGCTTTGTGCCGCGTTGGAGGTCGAATGATTTGCTGGTAGTGCTGGTGCGGACCACGGCTGTCTGGTCGCAGTGCAGATGCTGTAGTAAGCCCATATACCCCGGGAGAACACCTTCGTGCAGGAGTGCCGCCCACAGACTTACGTGCTCCACCGTATCGAATGTTTTTGAAGCCAACAGCTGCAATCCACATGGGTTTGTTCCATTCTGCTGCTCGTTCGCGTCGGGTGTGGAAAATGAATGGATGCTCCCGCGTGCCACGACCCGGTCTGAAACCGGCCTGGTCGTCTGGCTGCGCTGTCAGTGGTCTAGTAGGGTCGACAGTGTGTACAGGAGCCTCCTGAAGAGCTTGTGCAACATGGGGATGGTGCACATCGGGCTGCAATTCTGCGGAAGGATCGCGTGTCCCCTGTCTTGGGAATTATGGCGATGACTGTTTTCCTCCAGTTTGCTGGTGCTGGGGCGTCTGCTTGTATCACGGAGTTGTGCAACAAAGGATTCTGCATGTCCACGCCTGGCTCAGGCTGAATTGGAGGAGGGCGGGAGGGAGGCAAAGGGGACGGGAAAGGGGAGGGGTATAACCTGGAGGAAGGGATGGTGGGTAAAGGGGTGAGGAAAGGGGAGAAGACAGGGACGGGGGAGGATGCTGAACTGGATGGGGAGGGGCATCAGTTGGAGGAGGAGAGGGGACGGGGGCGAAGGAGAGGGGAAATGGGAGAGGGAGGAAAGGGAGAGGAAGGAGGAGTGCGAGGAGGAATTGGAGGATGATCGGTTGGAGGAGGGGGGAGAGAGGGTCAGGGAGGGGGAGAAGGGGGGGAGAAGATGGGAGGCCGCCGAGGAGACAAGGGAAGAGGAACTGATGGGGGCCACGAGCAGGGGCCTCGAGCAGACACCACCACCAGAGAGCCAGGCGGCTGGCAGGGGCCCCACCGCCCACCTCGCCGAGGCCCCGAAGGAGGCCGCGACAACGACAGCGACACGCAGCACGCGCCGCGACGACCGCAGTCACGCGACTCGGACGGCTGCCCCGACCCCCAAGCCCCGCGCCAGCGCTCCGCGAAACCGCGCGACTTCCCCTGCCATGCCAAGGACGCCGGCAAGGACACGACAGCCCACACCCGCCACCACCGTGAGGTGGCAAAGGCCCGCACAGTGACACGCGTGCGGTGTACTGCTAGATCTGCCGAACACGGAAGATACGTCTTACGCTCTCCCAATGCTGTGCACCCCTCGCTATCGCTCTGCGCCCACCCATCCCGACGGGCGCGAAGCCAGATAGGGCCCCCCTCCACCCTGCCTCCCGGGACCCAGCGTCAGATCAGGGCCGCACCCGTGGGCCAGCAGCACCCAGCCTGTCCCAACACCCACGGAAGAGGCGCGCGCTGTGCACAGCGCCACGCCGAGGCGCTGTCGCTCGGACGGGGCCAGGACGAGGACAAGTCCGTTCCAGAGCGTTCGGGGACGCTCTCAGAGCGCTAGAGACCACTCTGAGGAGGCCGCGGCGACGGAGACATCCTCCATTGCCGCCGGATCTCAAAGGTTCTCGATGTATCATCATGTTATCCTCGTCCTGGCTTCGTCTTCGCCGCCTCTGATGCGCTCGTGCCTCCTCAGGTCGCTGGCTCCAGGCGCTGGCTTCCCAGGTGCCTGGCCGCGAGAGGTCGTGCCAAGCACGGTGTCGGAAGAGGTCCCCACACCTCCTTTCATCGTATGCGCCTGCTCTCTCGAGTCCACGCTGACCTTTCTTGCCGCAGTGTTCCGCGATGGCTCCTGCGCTTCAGCATGGATGATGGAAGTGCGCTCCCCTGTCCAACCGAGCGCGATGAACATCCCCATCAGACTGCCTAGTCTCTGGCGTGGCGCGCCGCGCCCAACTCGACGACGTGTGAGCCCCTCGTCCAGTCGAAGCAGTGCGTCTTCGCCCGGAGGTAGCCCTAGCCATTCTAATTCGTATGGCCCTCGATACTCAGCTTTGAATCTCGCGTAACTGTCATCGGACACACGCAGCCAAATCAAGACGCGTAAGTCAAGCATAGACCGGTGTTGACTTCACTGCCGACTCCTGATTGAACGAGCCGGCCTTCGCCCATGCCTTGTGTGGCGTGGAAAACTCAGCCTTGTCGATATCACCAAACAATAATCTGATTCATGAGCGCGCATTGCTTCTGCTCTCATCATCACTTCGATGCCACTTGCTTCTACCACTGCAAAGCAGGCGTTGCTGCCATATTCAATGCTGATGTACAGTGTTCTCAGCTTTGGCCGAATGCACACCCAAACTGGCCATCGCATGTGTGTTGCTTCGCATCCGCAATGCTGCTCGGCATTTGCGCTAGGGATGGTATGTCAATGCTCTGCCATAAGCGAAGCATGAAGATTCTGATGATACTGATGATGATAATGATGATGACGACGATGACGATGATTATGCTGCTGATGCTGGTGATGTTGATGATTATGCTGATGTTGATGCTGATGATGATGCTGCTGATGTTGTTGATGATAATGATGGTGACGACGATGATGATGAGTAGCACGAGTGGGACAACGAAACTAGCAAGGGGAAGGACAAACTAGAGCAGCAAGAAGAACCGTGACAACACACTGAAGTGGGTGAGGATGCCATGGGGGCACGCGCGGAGATAGGGATCATACTGAGGATGACGAGTATCCGATGTGATGTTCATCATGACGGAGAAGAAGAAGAGCGAGCATGCACTCAGGTGACTGCCTTTTCGGACCTCCGAACCTCGCAAGTCGGCGCGGAGCGAAACATAGAAGAACAGGAGGGTGAGGAGAAAGTGGTTTAAGAGAACAGTCTGACTGACTCGGTGGCTCACACAAGGTCTGGCGGACCCATCATATCGAGCTCGAACTTTGTGATGCCACCTCGGCGATGATCGGAAACGGGTCTTGCGCGAGATGATATAGCGACCTGACGCTGCCGCTCACGCGGGCCGCCAGAGCGGCATCCTACACTGAAGCGAGGGCGCTCACGCGCGATCTTACGCGGGACGCTTACGCGCCAACGTCGGTGAAGACGACCCCGCTTCTCTGCGTCGTTCACCTGTCGACGAACTGCAGGGGAAGGATGAAGAAGAACTGTGGGAGAAGCGCAGGAGGAGGGGGAACAAGAGAAGGGGGAGGACAAACGAAAGACGCCCATGGGGAATGCACCGCGCGAAGACGGGGCGGAGGGCTCCAGGAACCGCGGGTATAAGATCGCGAGGCTGGAACAAACATGCAGCCGAACATATGACCATTGAAGAAATCTGGGCCAGCTTCCCGAAGTTTGTTTGTCTGAGAACGTCCTGGGCCAATTTCTGCCATAGACGCTGACGGGGCGAACGCACTCCAGAAACTGGGCCACTTTTCTGGCACCTTGGATAAGACATGCTGGCCCCGCTTTCTCGGCCGGAAGTTTCTTCATCAGATACATACTCGGCTGTCTTTCCCCCATCCGGCCTCTGCACGACGAAGGGATCGGGCCTCCTGAGCCCTGGGCACTCGTTCAGGAGGTCGATCGCGCACTCCACGCCGAGCCCATCCGGCGCCCGTGCCATGGCCGCGGACGGAGACAGAGGAAAGAGAACTATGCACATACACCGATTCTGGCCAGGCCCATCCTGAGCCTAGGATCGGTGCATACGCCCTCCTGCCCTGGCCAGGACAGCAGATGCACCGATCCTGGGGCCAAGGTAGGCGACGAGCCCAGGGGGGAAATGAGAAGGAGAAGGCCTTCTCAGAAGGCCGCGGGACTTCTTAGAAGTCTGGGGGGCTTCTGAGACGTTTCCTTGGCCTATTTCGAATACAGACGGAACTTCTCAGAAGCCCTCTCAGAAGTCCGAAACTTCTCAGAAGCCTCGGAAGTCCCGCCCCTTCTCATTTCCCCCCCGCGCCCGCCGCCGACAAGGGTGGGCCTCGCCAGGATCGGTGCACGTGCATACTTCTCTCCGCCCGCGGAGCAGTGGCGGGCGGGCCCCTGGCCCAGGCCAAGAGGGCCGTGGGCGGCGATCTCCGCCCGCCCGCGGCCCCGCCCGCGGGCTCGCGCCGACGTGGAGCAGGGATCCGTGGGCTTGGCGCCGGGATCCGGATCCGAATTAATTGGAACTGAATGTGAGGGTAGATTCTGTTTTAAATTGAGGGTTAGAGGTTAGAATTTAAATTGCACGACGCCTTGGTTGAGGGCAATTCCATTTTATTTCATATTCCTGGGGGATTTGAGAGATTCTAAATTACATGGATCAGATATGGGGGCGGCGCGTTGGACCCCCCGCGGAGCGCGATCCGCGTGAGGGGCGCGCCGATATTGCCGATCAGTGGATTGCTGCGGAAATTGTGCCACCCTCATTCGGCGACGGAGCACGCCTCTCCTTGCGGAAGCCAGGACAAGGGACACCCTCACAACCCCATCATGGAACTCACGGTGTGTTTCAGATGTACGTCGGAAACAGGTTCTACACATGGTTTGAGCATGTTGTCACATGTGTAAAACATGTTTTTGTCACATGTTTGAGACATCTGGAAGTTATTCAGCAACATGCCCCCTTTCCATCGATCGTCCTCCACAAACCTGTCCCGCATGGAAACGGGACCCGTCGCGAATCCTCGCGCCCTGGTCAATGTTTGCCCAGACGGGCGACGCCCCGATTTTTTTTGTTGTTCCGTGAGCGGTCCACAGACATCCCGACCCTTTCCCCAGGGCCAGCATGTCTTCCTGAGTCGTGGTTCGACGGTCCCGAGGCCCAGCGAGGGCCTCCAGGGGCCGAAAATGGCCAAAAAATCTCGCGCACCGATCTTTGTGCGACGCGAATGTCTGGGTGCACTTCCTCCGAGGAGGGAGCCCAGTCCCTCCCTCCCCGTTCCTGGTCCTCTCCCTGGCCCGAGGCCGTCCATAGTGCCAATGCCAAGGCCTTCCCTCCCTCCCTCCCTCCCTCCCTCCCCCCCGGAGGAGAAGGAGGAGGAGGAGGAGGAGGAGGAGGAGGAGGAGGAGGCGGAGGACGAGGAGCTGGTCCTCTCCTTGGCCCCAGGCCGTCCACTGCGCGCGTGCCATGGCCTGTGGGCAGCTGTTGTTTTCTTCCCTCCGCCCACGGCTGTGGACCACGATCTCCGCCTGCCCCCCCTGCCTGCCTGCCTGCAGCCCACAGCCCACCCTCACCTCCAGGGAGTTCGGAGGCAACCACTGGGAGGTCATCGTCGGAAGGATTCGGGAGGATTCAACCAAATAGGGGGGGTGTTTCGCCAGATTCGGCCGCGGATGAAGCGGGATTAAGCTAGATTGAATGGGATCCAGCCGGATTAAGCTGGACCGAGCCGGAATATGCCGGATGTCGTACCAGGACAACATCAGAATTCGACATCCCAGGATTTGCGTCCGAACAGGAGGTGCACATACCCACCCTTGGGCGAAACAAGCCCGAGCTGTGCGCTGTCCTCCACCACCACCTCCTCCTCCTCCCCCTCCACCACCACCTCCTCTCCTTCTCCTCCTCCTCCTCCTCCTCCTCCTCCTCCTCCTCTGCTCCTCCACCACCTCCTCCCTCCTCCCTTCTCCACCCGCCTCCTCCTCCTCCTCCTCCTCCTCCTCCTCCTCTCCTCCTCCTCTTTCTCCCTCCCTCTCTCCCTCCCTCCTTCCATCCATCCATCCCTCCCTCCCTCTCTCCCTCTCTCCCTCCCTCCCTCTCTCTCCTCGTCCTCCTCCTGTACCTCCTCCTCCTCCTCCTTCTCCTTGGCAGTAGGGTGAGAGGGAGAATGAACAGAAGATCTCGAGGGATGCACCGTCTGAGCGAATGACCGTACAAACCCTACAAGGAGCATTGTTCGAAATGCCAGGAATACAGCTTTGCTTCAGGCATGCGCAGAAAATCCCTGAAACATTTTCCTCGCCCCTGGACTCCCAAGTCAGGCCGCTCACACCGCGCATGCCTTTTCTGCCCGCCAGCGACACGGACACCCAGCTGATCCTTTCACACGTCAGCCGACTGTCGAGCCACATCGCGCAATTGCTGGGATCGTGAAACAGAGCCGGGCAACAATGAGGAATGAGGAGAAAGAGGCATATGATGGGGAATGTCAGGGGGTGACCTCTTATAGGGGGGAAACATCGAGCTGGGATCGGCGATAGATCGGCGATTGGCCCCCGATCGCGAATGCACAACTTGCTGGGCGGGGTGGGCCATGAGGCCCCCATCGGCGATGACTGGGCGATTGGGGGTCGATGCATCCTGCCCTGAGTCCATCCCCTGTTGGCTTTCGGGCCAGGCATCAACTCTCCGGCGGCCGTTCGAGACGATCCGGATACCCCTGGAATGCTCTCGGCGAGGCGCAGCTGCTGGAAGGCACACCGAGGCTGGAAAACTGTCGAGAACCGACGACAACGTGCGAAAACCTTGAACCTCGAAACTTCGACCGCCCTGAGCCTATTCCCCCCCTGACGTTGCCCATGCGAAGAGAGGGCCAGGCAAACCATGGACCGGCGCACGTGCAGACGTGCGACCGCCGAGCCTATGCCTGGGAAAACATGGTGGGGGAGGGACGTCGTTGTGCGAGATCCCGTGTAGCTCGGACACGGCCAGATGAAACAGACAAAACAACTACAACAGCCACTGCAAAGTGCAGCCGCGAGAGGCGTGGGCCAGGGGAGCTCACCTGCGTCTCGCGCGTGCTCCGGCCAGCATTCGCGGTCCAGCTGCAGCAGGGATGCGCCCAGCTAGTGAAACTCGCATCGCATCCGTCTTCCATTTAAAAAGCGATCGCATTACCACAATACCCAATGCTCCTATGCCAGGAAGCTGGAGCACACGAACACACACACACAACACAACACAACACACACCACACACACACCACACACACACCACATACACACATCACACGCACACACCACACACACACACCACACACACACACACACATCCACACACGCATACACACGCACACACACACACAGGGCTGGCTTTGCACGTGGAACTTCACGAGGCCACGTGCTGGATACACTCGCGTGAGCCCAGCGTGCCCAGCCCAAGGAGGGCCGAGCGATCGAAAGGCATCTGCGCACACGTGGGCGTCGATTAAACACGGGTCTTACGCCAGATGGCACAGCGACCCTGCTGACTACCTACCAGACCACCCCAACCTCAACCCGAAGACCCGAATTTCGGGTTGGGGGGTACGGGTTCCATATGTGCTTCTTCAATATTCTACGAAGCCCCCCCCACTGGAAATGGAGGGCAACTTAAGGCCTTCGGGTTGGGTTGGGTTGGTGTGGTGAGTGGTGACCTGTGCGTCGGCTTACGCGGGCCGCCAGCGCGGCACGCTACATCAGAGACGAGGGGATTTACGCGCGACCGTACGCGGGCAGCTTGCGCGCCAATGCCGGCGCAGAGGGTCCGACTGTTTCCTGCGCCGATCATGTGCATCCAGCTCTCGCCCAGGCCCGCCGCGTCGTGCGTGCCCAGCCCCAGGAGAAACCAGAAAGTACCAATACCGCTACTCCCCAGACGTCGTCGTCGTTGTCGTCAACCAGTCATCGTCGTCATCGTCGTTGTCGTCGTCATGGTCATCTCCCAGGGTGCGTTCTGACTAGAATTTCGAGACCAATCCACCGGTGGTAACGCGAGCCTCCCAGAAGGATCCAAAAGGGGAAAACGGGCGAAGGGTAGCGGCACGGGTACTCTTTCCTCCTCAGAGCTCCTCGGCACGCAGCGCGCATCGATCCACCACGATCGCCAGACATCCGACGACGTGTTCTCGTGAATGGGCGCGGCCAGGATGCCCCTCGTTGGCGGCGCGGACAGGGGGGGTGGGGGGCTATGGGGGAGGGGGGAAGGTTTCTTAGAAGGGGGCTGCTTCGTAGGAGGCGCCGGCCTTACATGTCCAGACGAAGCCCGCGCCTCCTAAGAAGCAGGAGTGCTTCTAAGAAGCCCTCCCCCCTCCCCCATAGCCCCCCCTTCTGCGCGTGGCCGACATCCGACGACGTGCTCTCGTGGATGGGCGCGGCCCGGATGCCCTTCGACTCCGCTCCTCCTGGGCTGGCCCTTCGCCAGAGGTTTCCAATCGTGAAGGCCTTCTGGGGCCCGACAGCGGGCCCCTCTGAGATCGGGCGCGAGCGAGGGGGGGGAAAGAGCAGGAGGAGGAGGAGGAGGAGGAGGAAAAGGAGAAGGGAGGAGGGAGGGAGGAGCAGGAGCAGAAGCAGGAGCAGGAGCAGGAGGATGAGGAGAAGGAGGAGGAGGAAAAGGAGGAGGGTGGAGGGAGGGAGGAGCAGGAGCAGGAGCAGGAGCAGGAGGAGGAGGAGGAGGAGGAGGAGGAGGGGGAGGAGGAGAAGGAATGAGAAGGGAAGAGGAGGAGGAGGAGGAGAAGGAGGAGGAGGAGGAGGAGGAGAAGAAGAAGCAGGAGGAGGAGGGAGGAGGGAGGAGGAGGGAGGAGGAGCAGGAGGAGGAGGAGGAGCAGCAGCAGGAGGAGGCGGAGGAGGAGGGGCAGGCCTTTTCAGAAGGTTCGTCACCCCCCTGGGCCTTCTGATAAGTTTTCTCAGCCCTCCCCGAAAACGCACAAGATCTCTCAGGAAACGCGGGAGCTTTTGAGAGAAATCCCGCC